TTATTTTCCTCAGCATTCATTTTTTTTCAGCTCTCATAAGTTTCCTTAGGCTTACTACCCTTATCATTCCTTCTTGCCATCTTTCCTTCTCTTACTGGAATTTTTCCTCCTCTCCATCCCACTTTAAAGAAAGTCATCTACTTCTTACTCCTTGGGTGGAATGTCGTTAGAGTTAGAATCGGATTCTAATTCTGTTTTGGTGATATATGAGGATTTTGTTGACTCGTCCTCCATGGCAGAGACCTTTTTTAAAGCCTAAAAAATGCTAAGTGAGGAAAAAAAAAAGAAAAGAAAAAGATGTTTAAGTTTCCAAAAAGTGAATAAGCCACCGAATTTTTTTTAAAAAAAAATAAAAATAAAAATAATCTTAACAAGCAAAGTTAGAAATTCCAGGGACATTTGATTCTCTGTTACTACAGCTTGAAAAAGTATTGAAAGAATAAGGATCTCTTACCTTTTACTTTACATTAACTCTAATTCACAAACTGTAGCATATGTCTCATGCAACACATATCGCCTGAAAATTACTAACTCATTATTCCTTTTATTGAATTTGTTTGAGAGCGAACAAAAGTTAGTGTAAGGAAATTTTATTAACTTTAAATTTGAATATATTTCTCTTTTTAAAAATATATTTATTACTTATAATTATATGCAAAAATCATCACATATCTAATTTATGACATACATTATCATTAGATTTTATTTAAAATAGTTCGAGTTCGAAAAGATGAGATTTATAATAAAAAATCCTCTAAAAGAGATGTTTCACTCCGAACAACCAAAAACCAACGAACATTCTATGAAGCGAAATCTTTTTCCATATACTCTATTTCCGCTCAGGCCGTACTAGTCAACAAACTTCCTCCATTGAAGCTAGATTGATGCAATTATAAGCAATATTTGCAACCTTTAAAGCAACATTCTAGATGGACTCAACATTTATTTAAGACTCACATTGGTGATGATCAAGGGTCTGAGTGAAGTTTTACCACCAAGTATTTATCCTGCGATTTCAATTGGGAGGAAGATATGTTTTTGAAGTGATCACACCAAATGATCAAGATATATGAAAGTTATGATAGTTGCAACCACTACAACCAATTAACTGTCATCCAAGCACATACCAGTCTGATTTATGTTATTCATCACACCTTAATTCATGGAATTCATTTCACTTGTGATTTAATATTCATAGCTCAATTTGTAAGGAGTTTTTTCTATACATGAAGTGGCAGCCAGAGGATTTTATGGAGGATCTCAGCCACTGACTTCCCAAGTCAGCAGTTGGAATTCTTTTTCAACAAATTTTTATTGTTTCCTTTTGAACATATGTAGATTAACTCTAATTTCTTTCAAATAGAAATAATGTATCATAAATTTCTCCGTTCATTTGATCCAATCACTATTCCTATGTTCACACTTAAATTTTGGAACTCCAACTATTGGTAAAATTGAGAAGATGAAACCTAGATTACTTATTCATGTCTTCTCATGTGCCAAAAATGGTGTTTAGATGGTCAGTAACAAAAGAAAAATGGTAACGAAAGTAACCTCATTAACTTTGTAATCATAATTCAATGTAAATTAAAGAGGTAACACAGGGATAGACAACGAGTGAAACATCTAAGTAATAATTAATCGGATATGCACTTGCGTACAAGGTTGTAGAGATGTCCAATGATAACAACTTCATTTTTTATCATATTATTCTTAGTTGAGAATCCAAACGATCCATTTTAATATCTAAGGTCAAGCACCACTAGAACCAAAAGTAAATAATTGTGATCTCTCTCGCTCCCACATATATCACATGATTATAAGTATAAAATATTGCTAAATTCTATCTTCAAACCACTCATATCGCACATCTTCTACCCCTATTGAGTCATAAGAGTTCATTCACTCACCACTTCTATAATTCCTTACATTTGAAGTATATTTTATCATAGACGCTAGAGTCATCCTATTTTTACCATATTAAAAATATATGATATTGCTTACACAGATGTATTCACTGCACTCATTTATTCATACAAATTTTATCACACACAATATATGTTTCTCTGCCTCACAACATTAAATCTCATGCAACATTCATTTATTAGACTTTTCTTCTACTTCTCTTTCATAGATAACAATAGTTTAGACTTTAAATTCTACGAGTAGCTATAATTTTATTGAAGTCCCAATTCTACCAAACTCAAGCATTTAATTCTTTGATAAGCTGAGGTATGCTACTAATTAAATTTTATGTCATTCAATATCTCTCACTACCAAAAACCAAATGCATGATTTATTGATATCTTTTCATTCTACACCTAGAAAGTTATCAAACCTTTTGATATGTTTCCAGATATTTTAACCGCAAAATTTATTCTTTAGAATTAGTTCGAGCTAAGAAAATTAAATTTATTCACTTTATTTATTTCCACCCTATCATACATACATGATTTTTCTAACATAGACATATTCACCATTCTTATTTATTCACATAATTTCTATCACACATATTACATGATTCAATACCTCTTAACAGTAAACCCATGCAACATTTACCCATTATACTTCAATCTTACTTTGATTTAATAGATAATAGTAGTTTAGATTTTAACTTATTCGAGTAGCTATAATTTCTTTTTGCCCTCAATTCTCGCAAACTAAAGCATTTATTTCTTTGGATTATTTTTTGACTCAAAATTTTTGAGTTTAACTTGAAAATTATTAATGAAAGAGTCTAAAATCTATCATTTGATAAGCCAAAAGTGGACTACAACTTTGACTTTATTTTATTCAATATCCATCAATACCAATAGCCAAATGCATTATTTATTTATATCTTTTCATACTACCTCCAGTAAGTTATTACTAATCTACTAAAACAGTAAGCTTATACTAGAAAATTTTAAACCTATATAAAAAAGAAGTAAACTAAACTAAATGCAAGGATGAATTCTATTATACGAGTGCGATAAGTCAAAATTAAAGGAAACAATAACCTAAATTACAAAAACAATAATATAAACTATGAAAATGGTGATATAATACTACAAATGTGATGGAATAAAGTAATAGATAGATATAATGGTAGGAAATTCTGAATATGGAGAATTCAAAAGGATACTACTAATGTTTTATAGTAGATGGTACAATGCATGTAATGTTAAATGCTTCATTTTTGCTTAAGACATGTCCTTCAATGTAGGGCTTGAGTATTGCTCCATTAATAAGAAGCCTATAATCATCCGATCTGGAGTTCAAGGCTCCAATTCTAATGGCTACACTTGGCAAGATATAGCTTATAAGATAGGTTCAAGTTAAACAAGATTTTGAGCTTCCTTGGAAAAAAGATGGAGTCTAGAATCATATAACAATACTTTAGATCCCTTAGTGAATGACCTGTCGCGCGGTCAATCAAATATTTCACCTACTCCGTGATCACAATTTAATGTAATATAGGGGAAGAGATCGTCTCCACAAGGATTGTGTGATTCACTCTTTCGTGTTCTAATGCAGTAAATAAAAGGGGAATTTTCTTTTATTATCTAATGAAAATAAAATAACAAAGCAATTAAATTAAGGAGAAACTGACTATCAAGGGGATGCATGGTTTAAGGGATGATGCAGTTATGACACTTGTGTTTTATCTTTAATTCAATAAAGTTAATTCTTATTAAAATATCAATAAATTGGTTATAGTTATCAACAAGCTTTGACAACCAATTTTTCCTTACAGTGTAGGTAATTAATGTACGACCGTTAACTACCCCTAATTAAGCAAATAAACCTAGGTGCGCCCATAAAAATATTGCCTAACCGCATTCCAATCTAGAAAAACCCAATTCAAAACAATTACTACCTAAGAGGAGCAATTATATTTGATTGTCTAAACCCTGGGAAGGAACTATTCAACCCGGTTGTCACCTATTCAAGTGCGAATATAATTGCGGATATCCTACCTGAATTGACTTTAGATTATCAGACTAATTTAAATATCGGTACCAAAATATTCAATCAATCTAACAATCACAAACGCTATTATCAGAATTAGACAAATATTGATAATAAAAAAGAACTTTTATAAAGAAAATCAAGAATCTCCAAAACAAAAGAACCAAAACATTATCACCCCTCAAACCAGAAAAGTATCTACTCCATAATCAAATAACAAAGAACAAAAGAGAAAGATAAAGTCATAGCGGGAGGGGGAAATCTTCTCTGTTGATTTGCTCTTGCGTGATCTATGAGTCTCTCAGTCTCCTGCTCCTGTGCGTTTCTGCCCTAGCCGTCCTCTCCTTTTGAAACGTGTGATCCCTCTTTTTATTTAATGTTTGCCCTAATTATTTTGTAGATGGGCTTTTGGGCCTTTAATTAATTTTATTTCCTTTTTCTGCCAATTATGCCAAATTTAATATTTGTCCTCTGCACACAACAAATAAACAATTCGCATATAAATTAGGTAGAATCCAATCAAAATCATTCAAATATCGCATATGATATGAATATAAAACGCATGCGATTTCTAACTATCAATTCTCCCCACACCTAGATCAGGCTTGCCCTCAAACATAAATTCGAAATAAGCCAAAGAAATCGCAGGCAACTCGATATGACAAGAGGATCCAACACAACCAATTCAATTCGAAAGACCTGCACAAAACTAAACAAAATTATCAAAAGTATTATTAGAAATTAAATAATAAAAATAAATAAAATTAAAGAAAGCAATTAAATGATTTGGGTTATCTCCCCAAAAACGCTTTTCTTTATAGTCTTTGAGCTAGACTCGCCTCGCATTAATTCTGAACATCGAAATCGGCAATGGGTGCCGACTTTATAGGATCAAGTGAGGGTCCCTCGTGGTATAATTTGAACCGATGTCTATTGGCCACACACTTTTTCTTCGGCTTAGAATTTTGATTCTTCTTATGATATTTTTTCGTTGCCAGCAATGGTGATCCCTTAGGAATTCATCTCCACTTTTCGACAATCTTTTTTCTTCACTTACTCTCTCCAGTTGGTCTTTTCTCTAACTGTGTTGTCAATACAGTTCTTTGTTTATTCTCATTACCAACTTCATAAGTTTCCTGAACCACAGAATTAATAACATTAATTGCATATAACGATTCAGATTCAACAGGACATTTGATGGGATTAAAAATATTGAAATGAAATTCTTCTCCATCAAACTCCAAGCTGAGTGTGCCCTTTTTAACATCTATCTTTGTTCCTGTAGTGCACATAAAAGGTCTTCCTAACAAAAGAGGCGGTGGATTAAAGCAGTGTGCATCATGCATATCCAAAATATAAAAATCAACAGGAAAAATTAAGTCATTCACTTGAACTAGTACATCTTCTATCATACCATCAGGATAAGCATTAGTTCGATCAGCAAGTTGAATAATAATTCCTGTTTCTTTTAGAGGCCCTAGATTTAAAGAGTCGTATATTGATCGAGGCATGACATTAATAGCAGCTCCTAGATCTAGCATAGCCTTAGTTATATCAGTTTTTCCAATCTTACGAGGGATAGAAAATATACCTGGATCACCGGTTTTATGTGGTACCTTTCTTTTGATAACAGCAGAAACGTTCTCACCCGCTATAATATGCTCGTCCCCTCGCAATTTTCTTTTGTTGGTGCACAGTTCTTTCAAAAACTTCGCGTACTTGGGGATTTGGTTGATAGCTTCCAGGAGCGGGATATTAAGTTCCAACTTCTTAAATATTTCCATCATCTCTTTTCGTTTGTTTGTCTTTTGTGGTTTCTTCAACCTGTCAGGAAAAGGAGCTGATTTAGCTTCAGTAGGAGGAACAGAATTAGGATGTACCTTTTCGTGGATCTCAGCTTCTTTTTCAATCTCCATTTCAATCCTATCCTCATTCTGTTCCTTTGATATAGGAGGTGGACCTTCCAATTCCTTTTCGCTACGAAGAGTTATAGCACTCGTATTCTTTGAATTAGGCCGGGAGGAACATTCAATTATCGTATCACTGCAGATAGTGATGGCGCTGACATTTGCTGGATTTGGCTCAGGCTGAGCAGGTCACTTTCCTCTTTCACGTAGCTGTCTCACCTCCTCTGACACTTGATTGATCTGACCTTGTAATTTGTCGACAGTTGACTTCATCTCTTGCTGGAATTGCAGGGTACTGATAGCCATAGACTTCACCAAGTCTTCCAAAGATGGACTGGAGTTGCTTGTGGGTGCTTGGGGTGGCTGTTTCTCATAGAAACGAGGTTGTTGCATCTGTTGCATAGTTCCGAATGGTTGATGAGCATTACCCTACTGTGCGTTTCCATAACACAGGTTCGGATTATCTCTCCAGTCTGGATTGTAAGTGTTGGAGTATGAATTGTACGCTGGAAGTCTATTCATACCGTAGTTTGCAGTGTTCACATCCGCCGCAACTCCTTCCAAACGGCGATCTGCGCCTCGACCTCCAGCGCGCCGACCAGACTCTGCCCAGCGCCCTCCTGCGACTCCACGCCGCCGTGGATTCCACACTTCCCGCCGCGGCCGAACAGCCTTGCGCCGCCTCCAACCAACGCCGATCTTCATTCTTGGATTGGGTATTATCTTTTCATCCCTACCAATACTTTCTATTTTCAATTTTTGGGATAATATGTTGAGACGTGGGATCGCTGTTTTGAAATTGCCAATTTGTGAACTCCAATTACTATGAAATTGCCATGAATTTGATGTGGAGTTTTCTTTGCAGTGATAATGATGATGGCATGTTAGTTCTAATTTGTTCGACATAAGTTCAATTTTGGGATATACTGCACTGATTTGGGGTATTAACACTCTGGAATTGCAATTTAATGTTAATTATAAAGTTATAAGTGCATTTTGTGATAGTGATTCAATGGTTTGTTAGTTGTTTGCTTTGTTCCATTCTGGAATACTCCGCATTGGCTTAGTAGATGAGAATGAAATTGCATTGCCTTTATTGAGACCTGCCATTGCTAATCTGGAATTCAAATTGGAAGTCTGCGTTGGCATATTTCATTCAATTTCTGTGTTGGGGTCTATGAACTTACGGATTTGTTATGCTTTGCTTATGGCGTACTTGCTGAATACATCCTTTTGACATTTGATTTGGTTGATCTTATTTTGGTTTGGCATAGTAGAGCTAAAAAAACTAAAAAAATTGGACACTCTCTTTGCTGGATTCTGGATTTTGGATCTTGATTATGTTGTTATTGCTTCTTGTGTGCAAGAATTGGACATTGTTCACACGTGAATTTTGGTGATGACATTTCTATTGTTTACTGGTTGTGAATTGGCTATGAACTGCACGGCATTTGACTAGTTTAGTTGAATTATGAATCATCCACTTTTTGGCGTAGCTTGCGTTGGTTAGTTTTTTTCGCAGGACTCAGGAGAACTTCAAGCTTCTTTAAAAATCACGATCAAATACAGAAGCGTTGACAAAGCTCCCAGCTACTACACCCCCATACGGACTCCAGGGAAGTCCCTCTCTTTTTTTATTGCACTCTTTACATTAAGGACAATGCATACTTTAGGTGTGGGGAGAGTTATGCAAATTTTTGGGCAAAATTTTCATTTTTGTGCTATTTTTATGCCGGATTTGCTGTCTTTTCGCATGTTTTTCAGATTAGTCTGAAGTGAGTCAAAGGTGATTTGTGTGATAGGTTAGTTTGGCATGACTAATGACATTTGATTGGTGATATGTTGAGTCAAGTCGACGTCTAAACCCTGTGAGAATTTGAGCCTATGTTCCAAAAGTCACATTAGAAAATAAATTGCATATATTCAAGCTTTTGGAAATTTCTTTCATGTTTGATTTGTAGTGCTCAATTAGATGACCTAGAACTTGAGTGATTATGCATGTTGAACTTGCAACTATCGAGTCTTGCGTTTTGAAAATGATAAGGGCATTAGGTAACCCATTAAGCATTTCTTTATTACCCAGCACAATATATTTCCCTAATTAGCTCATTTGAGCCTTCTTAGCCTATTTTTCTTTTATAATAACATGTCTTTTAGCCTTATACCCTTCCTTTGATTAAGCCTTCTCCGATTTGAACCTTATGTTAGAAAGAATTACTTTAAGTCCATGTTGTGATGCACTTTATTTCTTCGGCACTAGTTAGAAACGAACTTTGGGTACGAATAAGTCACAGTATGAAGGAATAATTATGGGTAGTAAAAGTATATATATATATATAAAGAAAAAAGCAAAAAAAAAATCAAAAATCAAAAAACCAAAAAAAAAAAAAAAAAAAATTAAAACCCTTTCTCTCTTTCTTTCCCTGTCTCTTCTCCCCTCCTCGCGCCTTCGCCTTCCTCCGCCATTCTTTTTCTTCTCCCTTTCCCCCCACTCTCTCTCTCTCGCCTAAAAGCCGCGTTGCCTCTTCTGCGCCGTCTCCTTCCACCAGAAGCCGAGACGTCGCCGGTTTCTTCTCCTCCAGACGAACAGCGCCGTTCGCCGTGACGCCCTCCGCCTCCGCCCTTCTTCTTCTTCCTCTTCTTCTTCTTCTCCGCCAGTCGCCCTCCACCAGTGCCGATCGCCGCTGAGTCTCCCTCTCCCCAGCAACGGCGCCAAAAATTGACGTGTCACGCGGTCAATCAAATATTTCACCTACTCCGTGATCACAATTTAATGTAATATAGGGGAAGGGATCGTCTCCACAGAGATTGTGTGATTCACTCTTTCGTGTTCTAATGCAGTAAATAAAGGGGGAATTTTCTTTTATTATCTAATGAAAATAAAATAACAAAGCAATTAAATTAAGGGGGAACTGACTATCAAGGGGATGTCTGGCTCAAGGGATGATGCAGTTATGGCACTTGTGTTTTATCTTTAATTCAATAAATTTAATTCTTATTAAAGTATCAATAAATTGGTTATAGTTATCAACAAGCTCTGACAACCAATTTTTCCTTACAGTGTAGGTAATTAATGTACGACCGTTAACTACCCCTAATTAAGCAAATAAACCTAGGTGCGCCCATAAAAATATTGCCTAACCGCATTCCAATCTAGAAAAACCCAATTCAAAACAATTACTACCTAAGAGGAGCAATTATATTTGATTGTCTAATCCCCGGGAATGAACTATTCAACCCGGTTGTCACCTATTCAAGTGCGAATACAATTGCGGATATCCTACCTGAATTGACTTTAGATTATCAGACTAATTTAAATATCAGTACCAAAATATTCAATCAATCTAACAATCACAAACGCTATTCTCAGAATTATACAAATATTGATAATCAAAAAGAACTTTTATAAAGAAAATCAAGAATCTCCAAAACAAAAGAACCAAAACATTATCACCCCTCAAACCAGAAAAGTATCTACTCCATAATCAAATAACAAAGAACAAAAGAGAAAGATAAAGTCATAGCGGAAGGGGGAAATCTTCTCTGTCGATTTGCTCTTGCGCGATCTATGAGTCTCTCAGTCTCCTGCTCCTGTGCGTTTCTGCCCTAGTCGTCCTCTCCTTTTGAAACCTGTGATCCCTCTTTTTATTTAATGTTTGCCATAATTATTTTGTAGATGGGCTTTTGGGCCTTTAATTAATTTTATTTCCTTTTTCTATCAATTATGTCAAATTTAATATTTGTCCTCTGCACACAGCAAATAACAATTCGCATATAAATTAGATAGAATCCAATCAAAATCATCCAAATATCGCATATGATATGAATATAAAACGCATGCGATTTCTAACTATAAGTGAATTCTTTATATTGTATCATCTTGTCATGCTAGAATTTTGTCTTTTCTTAAATAACTTGATAGTCTCATAAGCTAAGTAGTGGGACCCGGTTAAATCCAATAGACGAGTAGTTCACTTTTGTTGAGCTAACAGTTTATTAAGTTTCAGAACTTGATGGTTCAATAAGTGTGATGTTGATGCATTTTCATTTACTAGACAATAATAGGATATCCCTATTATATTTTTTAATGATTTTGGTAAGCCCACAAGGAGTCACTAACTTTTTCGACTAGTTATTCTAGTTTTCGTTGATAGTGGTTTGAATGATATATTTTAGCTCCATTTTAAAACTTTAATTTGATCACTAGTCTAAGGATGATAGGATGTCACTACCAAAAAATTATCTTTTTTTTAGCGGAATTGAATATGCTGTAATAGTTCTGTCACAAAAAAATGGTATTTGTTACTTTTTTTTCGGAACAAAAAAAAAAAAAACTTGTGTTGGTCAACCTTTTTTCTTATTTGTTTCGATAATTATTCCGTAAAAAATACAAATATAATAAGTTGATGTCCTATTTATACTTTTTACGTATATCAAACTGTAGCAAAAAGTTAATATTATAAATAAAAAATTTAAAAAACAATTATATAAAATAATTTTAAAAATAAGTAAAAAAATCAAATTTGAAAAGCGTGTTTATACTTTCTCAATATATATTAACTCTTTTCCAATATATATATATACACACAAATAGACCCAACACTTAGGAAAAATTTGATCGCTCGCTCACTGCCGCCCTTTCTTATTTTTCCCCAAATCAACTCACGATCCGTGAGGAGGAGCTCGTCAACACTCTACTCCGGCCTCTGCTCTACCGTCACCGGTTTGAAACTTGTGGTTATCTGAGTTGTTGGTGGCGTGAATCTTCCTGGCCGTACTGTTGTTCTCACTTTATGGCTTTATCGTACGGTGAGTTAAAACTAGATATGTTATTGAGTGGCTATAAAAATCGATTTTTAAGTTCTTTCATACTCTGGATTTTTTAATAATCTTCTTGTAGACATTATTTCATATGTTTAATGGGTATACGAGTTTGGACCAATTTTCTGAAGCTTTCCTTGAACCACTGCTTCTAGTTTTATCCGTTTGCAAGGCCTGGATTTGGAATCTAGATTTAGTGTTCAATTTGTGTTCTTGCTTGGTTGGAGTAAAAAGATAATGGGAGTAGAAAATAAATAATTTGTGAATTTTTGTTTAGATTTAGGGTTAACTTTGGCCTTTGCTAATGACAATGAAAATTGTTTGGGTTTTCTCAATACTTTTTTATTTTGATGTTGTGGATACGGATTATTGAATCTGCATAGGGAGCTTTCAAGCATGATGTGCATACCTTGAGATTGGGGAATGATGTTTTGAACAATGTGGTTGATATGTATGGTATCTATCTGAATCGACGGGAGTTCAATGCTTCTAAGAAGAACAAGATGATAATAAGCAAGTTAAGTTGTACATCCAATATATAAATGAGTTTTTACATAATGTTAAATGTTGAATAAATCCCA